ACCTCGATCAAAGCTGGCAACTGCAGAAATAAAACCAACTTACGAATCCTCCTCCTCCTCCTCCTCCTCCTCCTCCTCCTCCTCCTCCTCCTCCTGCAGCTCTCTGCTGCTGCTGCTCCCACCTGTATGGCTCCTCCCTCCTTCGCCTGCATCCACACACTCTTCAGCTCCTCGATGCTGCCAGGTGGCCGTCGTTCTCCTTCCTCCTCCCCTCCTGCCATCGCCTCCGGCTCGCCGCCCGTTGGTGCTGGGTCGGTTTCCGTCCTCTCCCAATGATCTTGCATCCCTCCCTCTTCCGCTGCTTCTCGAGCCGCAGCCGACCCCTCCTCCCTCCTCTCCTCAGCCTCAGCCGCCTCGTCAGAGTGATGGGAAGGGGCGCCAGACCTGCCCTGCTGGGGTTGTGCAGCGATACGAGTCAGCATCTCATCCTTCTTCTGGTCCTTGGACGTCTGCATGAACCGCTGAAGGGTCTCGACCCAGAGCTCTTGCCCCCTCCTCTTGCTCCTCCTCCCCTTCCCCCGCTTCTTCAGGTACCCGCTCTCCTTGCTCTGCCGCTCCTCCAGCAGCCTCATCTGCAGGAGATGCTCTGACTGTGGCCGCGTTTTGTGCAAAATCTGTATCGACATGTATTCAGGAAGTAGAAGAGGAGGGCACAAGGAGGACAGGACAGGACAGGAGAAGAGAGAACAGAAGAGGAGAGAGGAGAGAGGAGAGGAGAGGAGAGGAGAGGAGAGGAGAGGAGAGGAGAGGAGAGGAGAGGAGAGGAGAGGAGAGGAGAGGAGAGGAGAGGAGAGGAGAGGAGAGGAGGAGCAGCGTGACCTGTTTCAGCTTCATGTTTGTGACCACTCTCCTGCAGTGGGTGTCCTCGAGGGAGTCGTAGAAGGTCTTCTTCTCGTATACAGGGGCACGCGTGTCCCAGCTGCTACTCTTGTCCTGCTCCTTCTTGAAGAAAGTCCTTGACATCGCCGACCTCTTCGCCGCGGGGTTCCATGCCGTGGAGAGGATCGTGTCGACGACAGAAGGCTGCTGCTCATGGAGCATCTTCTGGTATGCTCGCTCGAAGGCCGCCTGTAGCTCCGAGTAGCCAGCCTCGTATCGGAGATCTCCTGAGAGCGGGTTGCTGGTCATAGTCATGAGGCGAGCAGTCAGCCCGGGCTCCGACGATTGGTCCAGGTCATGCCCGTCCTTCCGCTGTTTCCTGATCGGTGCGAGGCGATCGACCCGAGGAGAGGAGGAGGGAGGTTCTGATGCGAACATTGCGCTCTGTGGAGGGAGGGTGTTGGACTTGTCGTACCTCTCAGTCCTGTCCATTGACATTCTCGTATGCTCGCTGGGATTTCCTGTCTTGACGCGCCGGGGAGATTTGGAGTATGCCGAGACGTTCAGGTCGGACATCTTGTTCCTGAGGGACGTCATCGGGTTGTCCAGCATGAAGCGCTGAAAGTTCTCCAGGGCGTTGTGCACGGGTTTCTCGACATGGCGATGGACAACAGCACGAGGCATCCTGCGGGGAGGCCCAGGACAAACCACCGTCGACTTTTTCTTGCGCTTCGCCTTCCTCGTCCAGTGTTCCTAGCCCCCTCTGTGTCTGTCTGTCTGTCTCACCTTCAGCTATCTCTCCTCTCCTGCTCTGCCTTCGCCTCTCTGCTCGCTCCCGCTCTTCCCTCTACCTCCCCTCCCTCCCAAGCATGTCCTCCGCTTTTAACCGTTAACCGCTCGACCGTTATGACCGTTATTTCACAAGCAACTCAAAGCCCGGCCTTCCTACTGAGCTGTAAGTTGCCAGAGTTAGGTGGCAAAGTTGGCAGATATCACATCGACCTTAGTTGTAACAAGACAGTTTTTGCTCAAGACCGACGGTTTAATGCACCGTGACACAAAACCAGAATTGAGGAGCACATGAGAGATAGACTGTATGCTAGGATGTGAAACCCAAGGCCATCCAGACATGAGAGGACCTTAGCAAGACGGCTAGGAAAGCCCCCTCTCCGTCCCACACGCTACATGGCCGCCTCGAAACCGGCGTAAGTCGCCGGAGGCTTGGTTTACAGGAGAGTTTTTGTTAACTCGGCGGGTGGCGCCGCAGTATCTGACTGGCACGGCTGGCATACGCCGGATCCGGGCCATCGGAGGCTCCCCCCGAGTTTCTGAAACAGTAGTCACTGTGACGTTACACCGGACGTCAGAAAGTGACAAACAAGACTCTGAGAATGTCAGCAGAGTTCCAAGTCGAGATACGATAAGACTGTCTGCGTCAAGTTCACAGTTATGCTGAGTGGGCAATAACGCATTGAAGGATTGTCCATTCTGAAGAAAATTTTCATGCAGGGCTATTAGATGTCAGTGGCAGTACAGCTGAGATAAGGGAGATGCATAGCGAGCTGATGCAATGAAGAGAGATCATAGTAGAGGATAAGATAAGAATGTCTGAGGAGAGAGAAGAAAACCGTTCGGAGATAAGAAGAGAGAAGTTACTCGCCAGGCTGATTTGAAGACCAAAAGATAAATTTTTGAACCGTAAAGAACTTGACATAAAACTTCCATGACATGAAACTTCCGCCAGATCTCCTAGAAGTTCCATTTCAAGTTTGATCCTACTCAAAGATCATCAAGAAAATAATTGAATCGAATCAGCTGCAAGCGTATTTCCGGCAACCGTGAACATGTCCGGTCCACGTTGAGCCTGGCAGATATTCGACCCGGCGACCAATCTGGCTGGGAAAGACTTGTTTTAGGCCTAAACAACTTGCGGCTAGAGAGGGAGCCTGATTGAAGACTCAGACTCATGGGGCCCCGAGTCATCAGGGCCGAACTTTCTATGTAAAGCACAGTAACGAAACAATACCCAGAAAGAAAAAACTCCAGACAAACAATATAACTAACCAAACATAAGATCAACATAGACTTGTACCGTAAACTATGCTAAAGTCACGCGGCAGACTCAGTAGTATCACATCGACCGTCCGAAGTTAGTTGCGCCGGGCTATCTGACTGGCACGGCTGGCATACGATCCATCACTCCGTCACCGGGCCCTCCGAGCCGCCGTGCGGCCCGCGCGAGGCCGGGATCCCGGTCCAGTGCCGGCCCCGGGCCGCCGGGGCCGCGGCGGGCCCGCCGGGACTCGGGAGCTTCAGAGTACCGTAGTACGGTCCCGGCGGCCGCAGTTGCAAAAGACAGCGATGAAGATTGGGTCAATTTTGCTTATGTAGCAAGTGCTGCCCTAGAAGCTCTTTCAATCTCTTTTGGAGGTTTTTCAACGCCCGTTAGTTAGAACCTTGGGAGTGGTGGTAGGGGTGGTCAAGATGGGTACCCCAGGTGATACAAATCCAGATATGCACACAGATGAGGGGGTAGGGGTGATGTTACATGCAAACTTTCTCACCACGGGTGCAGGTAAGCAATAGTTTAAATACGGGGTGGCATGCTTACGAGTTGGTTTTGAGGGGGTATCATGGAAAGGGGTAGGGTGTGTGACATTTGGGGTGGGTACAAACACAACCGACAGCTGCATGCCACCGGAGAACCGAGGGGATGGAGAGGAAGAGAAGAGAAGAGGAGAGGAGAGGAGAGGAGAGGAGAGGAGAGGAGAGGAGAGGAGAGGAGGAGAGGAGAGGAGAGGAGAGGAGAGGAGAGAACAGGAGGGAAGAGGAGAGGAGGGAAGAGAAGAGGAGGGAAGAGGAGAGGAGGGAAGAGAAGAGGAGGGAGAGAAGAGGAGGGAAGAGGAGAGGAGGGAAGAGAAGAGGAGGAAGAGAAGAGAAGAGGAGAGGAGAGGAGAGGAGAGAAGAAAAGAGAAGAGGAGGGAAGAGGAGAGGAGAGGGAAGAGGAGAGGAAGAAAATGGAAGAGCATGGAGGAGTGTGATCAAATAGTGCGAAGCGAGGTCACAGAAGAGAGGGAAAGAGGGAGGGATGTGTCAGGAAAGAGGATTCGTTTGTATTTTGACACTGAGATTTCCAGAGGAAACCAGCACGGTATCCAAGGGCTCTTGAGAGGATGAAGTATTCGAACTAGCACAAGCTATTTGATGAGGTGATTCTAGATTGCAACTGGAATTCCCTCCTGAATTGCTCCAAACACAGAATGCCCGATGCTCCTGCATCTTCTTTCAGTGAACCTGCTGGTCAATCTGTGATCTTGCAGACGTTTTATGAGAAATTGAGGAACTACTTGAAGGATAGTTCGACATGGTTCTACTTTCTGGACAAGGTTGGAAACATCTCCCTCTTGTCTGTGTGCTCTCGTGCTCTAGAACTGATCTCAATATAGGACAAGGATGGCCGAATTTCGTATCAAGATGTTGTCCAGTCTTGTGAAGAGTTGAGGCTTAATCAACCAGACTCCATTGCAATGGCTTTCTTTGCAAGTATGGATTCTTCGGCAGACTCTAATCCAAACAACGCACGAGTGCAAGACAACTCACTATCGCAAGAGCAGTTCGAAAGTTTTGTGCACCAAAACAGGTTGCAGGAGTTCTTGCCTTCTCATGTTCCAAAATCTCTGATGAGCGCGATGAAACAAATATGCGCTGCACTTGATTACAACGGAATTTCTGTTTCGCAGGGATATGATGCCTTTGATGTAGACCAAGATGGAAGGATATCGTATGATGATTTGAAGAATTCAAGTCAGAATTTGAATCTGGGCATCAGTGACGAGCAATTGACTGAGCTCTTGCAATTCTTAGAAAGCAATGCTTCAGGTTTCGTTGATTACTCTAAGTGGGAGCAATATCTCGAAGATTTCAAATCACAAACATCTCAGTCAGGGTTCAATGCAGCTTCAGGTTCAACGCGCACTGACGGAATGATGAAACCATTCCATGGATTAACCTCCAAGATAGAAGCACGCAATGTGATTGCAGCAGCAATCGAATTTAATCGAATTTCTTTGGACGAAGCTTACATGGCGTTCGATGTAGACGGGGACGGGAGGTTGTCATGGCCAGATCTGGAGGCAGCGGCAGAGACTCTGCAGCTTGACATACCTCAAGGAGACTTGAAGACGCTGTTTGGGGAGCTAGACACTGCAGGGGCCGGGTACATCGGGAAGGAGGCATGGAACGAGATGCTAGCAGGGGCTGACGGGAGCGAGGTGCTGATGTCTCGAGGTGTCCTAAACAAACGGGAAGTCGGTGACACATCGGTCTCACCAGCCCGTGATGGAGAAGTGCAGGGGGTGGAGCAGGCCATAAATGTCATATCAGCCTGTCTCAAGTACAACAACCTTGGTCCCACAGAAGGATATGATGCGTTTGACTCGGACGAGGACGGCAAGGTTTCCCTTGCAGATATGCGGACTGCTGCGACGGTGCTCGACCTTGGGATTGCAGCAGATGTGCTAGAGAAGGTCTACAGCAAGATGGACTCTGAGGGAGAAGGGTACATCAGCAGAGATGCATGGCACAGCACGCTTGCGGGCGCAAACGCTGAAGGCATCTTGCAGTCGAGAGGGATTCAGCTTGAGACTCAAGTCAGCACGAGAGTGAACACAAATGGGGCTGTAGATGGAGGAGTGCTTTTTCTATCAGAAACAAGCAGGGTCAGCATCAGCACCATCGCGGCAGTGATTCAGTTTAACAATTTATCAGTAGAAGAAGCTTACTTTGCGTTCGATGTAGACGGGGACGGGAGGTTGTCATGGCCAGATCTGGAGGCAGCGGCAGAGACTCTGCAGCTTGACATACCTCCAGGAGACTTGAAGACGCTGTTTGGGGAGCTAGACACTGCAGGGGCCGGGTACATCGGGAAGGAGGCATGGAACGAGATGCTAGCAGGGGCTGACGGGAGCGAGGTGCTGATGTCTCGAGGAGTACAGGCACCGGGGCAAGACTCAGAACAAGGAAAGGAAGTCAAGCTTGATACTCCTCGGAGTCTGCAGGCTTTGAATGGCATTGAGAAGACTAATGTAGAAGGCTTGAAGGAGCTACGAGGGGAGGAGGAGACAGCAGAGGCGGTGGATCAAGACCAGATTGATGCAGCGACCAAGATACAGGCACGGGCACGGGGCATAGCAGAGCGGAAGAAGGTAGAGGGTATGAAGGAGCTACGAGGAGGGGAGGAGAGGAGCCACGGTCACGCCAACACGAAGGAGAAGGAGACAGCAGAGACGGTGGATCAAGACCAGATTGATGCAGCGACCAAGATACAGGCGCGGGCACGGGGCATAGCAGAGCGGAAGAAGGTAGAGGGTATGAAGGAGCTACGAGGAGGGGAGGAGAGGAGCCACGGTCACGCCAACACGAAGGAGAAGGAGACAGCAGAGGCGGTGGATCAAGACCAGATTGATGCAGCGACCAAGATACAGGCGCGGGCACGGGGCATAGCAGAGCGGAAGAAGGTAGAGGGTATGAAGGAGGCTGGAACAAAACAGGCAAAAGAACATGCGGAAAACAATTCAGAGAAAGAGGCAAGATTGGAAGGAACGCACGGATCAGTGAATCCAGACGTTGCAGCGACCAAGATACAAGCACGGGCAAGAGGTATGATCGCAAGGAGAATGGTCAAAGAAAAGCGACGAAGGTACAAGAAGCGAACGACTGGTAATCAGTCAGCAACGAAACCTTCAAATGCTGCTGTTCCAAGTGCTAAGTCTGCTTCAAACTCTGCCGTTGGAACCAAGAAGCACAGACAACTAGATTTAGGAAGAAAGCCAACAAATTCCACTCAGCCGTTTGATTTTGCAAGGAAGAATGTGGATGATGTCGATACTTTAATTGGCAATAGCTCTAAAAATGCATCACCACTAGTAGATTCCGATGTTTTCAGTGCTGCCAAACCCCAGGATGAGATTCAGCGTCTGATTGAAGAAAATAGCATGTTGAATCAGCAACTGGATCAACATCGGCGACAAAATTTGCAGGAGCTACAGGAGGAAAGAGATAAATATTCAAGGTTGTCTGAAATTGTGAATGATCAACAGTTGGATATCAAGCGGATGAAGCCTTATGTTCCTCAGTCCGAAGTTTTTGCCCTCAAGTTCGACTTGCGATTCGAGGACATGAATCAAGATCATTTCTGTGAAGAATTGATTGAAGATCTTTCGCGAGCTTTGAATCTGACATCTTCATCTGTCAGTATACAATCAGTCCAGGAAGCAAACTCAATGGTGGAGTTTATCGTTGCCTGGAATGCTTCGCCTGATGGCCGTTCATGCATTGAGATCTTCGACCAGCTAAAGCAGCAGTGTTCAAGTGAGACCAGTGCTCTCAAGAAAGGAAGGCATACGTCCAGGGTTGTCACGTGCGACCTCACTTCTCAAAAGAAACAATCTCATGACAGCTTGGAGAGCGAGATGAGCTTTTTGAATATTCGCGTCCAAGCCCTGGAACGAGAACTTGAGGCTGCAAGGGCTGAAAACTACAGTTTTGAAACCACCAAACGAGAGTTGCAAGAAGGTCTGCAGGAGGCCTTCAGTTGCAATGTCAAGCTTGCAGAACTCTTAGGGAACGCAAGGTGGTGTGGGGACGAAATCAACTCCTCTTTGGTTGGAGTAGTCTCCGAAATCAAAATGGAGCTCGCTGAAATAATCAACGACATGATTGCAATGGAAGCTTCATTCGTCCCTGCCACCGTAGAGTCTTCATATGGAGCGAAAGATCTTCCGGTAATGAATAGCAGAATTTTGAATCTATCAAGTGTTGCTGAGTTTTCTGTGAAGGACCTGCAAGAGGCATTGAGTCTCAACAAAGCAGCCCAGGACTTGCTGAATTCCATCGAGTCCGAAAAGGAAGAACTGGAAAGGCAACTTCGAGATATGAAGGTGTCACATCAGAATCAGATTGCCATGGCATGTTCCATGACTGCAGCAATCCTTGGAGACTGTACGGAGCTCAAAAACGAATTTTCAAGTTTTGATTATCTTGCTACTTTCGCTGTAAGCGCCGATCCAGCACCACAAGACAAGGGGGAAGAAATTTTTAATTTGGTAAAAGAGCTGGATAGGCTACGGAACGATTGTGAAGCGGCGATAACTTTGAACGAGCGGATGGAGGCTGAGTTCAAGCAGGAGCTAGAGAAGCTGAAGCGGGAGCGGGGTGAGGGGGACCGAGGCAGCGGAGCTGTGCCTGCAGAGGAGCTTGAGAGGCTACGGAACTATTGTGAAGCGGCGAAGACTCTGAATGATCAATTGGAGGCAGACTTCAAGCAGGAGCTAGAGAAGCTGAAGCGGGAGCGGGGTGAGGGGGACCGAGACAGCGGAGCTGTGCCTGCAGAGGAGCTTGAGAGGCTACGGAAGGAGTGCGAGGAGGCGAAGACTCTGAATGATCAATTGGAGGCAGACTTCAAGCAGGAGCTAGAGAAGCTGAAGCGGGAGCTTGGCGGGGGGCTGAGGGAGCCCAGGCAAGGCGAGAGCGAAGTCGTAGAGGTCAAGCTCTCGCTGGACAACATGCTCGGCCAAGTGTCGGAGGGACGAGAGAGTGGGGAGGACATGGGCAGAGTATACTACGACGAGCTTGAGAGGCTACGGAAGGAGTGCGAGGAGGCGAAGACTCTGAACGAGCGGATGGAGGCAGACTTCAAGCAGGAGCTAGAGAAGCTGAAGCGGGAGCTTGGCGGGGGGCTGAGGGAGCCCAGGCAAGGCGAGAGCGAAGTCGTAGAGGTCAAGCTCTCGCTGGACAACATGCTCGGCCAAGTGTCGGAAGGACGAGAGAGTGGGGAGGACATGGGCAGAGTATACTACGACGAGCTTGAGAGGCTACGGAAGGAGTGCGAGGAGGCGAAGACTCTGAACGAGCGGATGGAGGCAGACTTCAAGCAGGAGCTAGAGAAGCTGAAGCGGGAGCTTGGCGGGGGGCTGAGGGAGCCCAGGCAAGGCGAGAGCGAAGTCGTAGAGGTCAAGCTCTCGCTGGACAACATGCTCGGCCAAGTGTCGGAAGGACGAGAGAGTGGGGAGGACATGGGCAGAGTATACTACGACGAGCTTGAGAGGCTACGGAAGGAGTGCGAGGAGGCGAAGACTCTGAACGAGCGGATGGAGGCAGACTTCAAGCAGGAGCTAGAGAAGCTGAAGCGGGAGCGGGGTGAGGGGGACCGAGGCAGCGGAGCTGTGCCTGCAGAGGAGCTTGAGAGGCTACGGAAGGAGTGCGAGGAGGCGAAGACTCTGAACGAGCGGATGGAGGCAGACTTCAAGCAGGAGCTAGAGAAGCTGAAGCGGGAGCGGGGTGAGGGGGACCGAGGCAGCGGAGCTGTGCCTGCAGAGGAGCTTGAGAGGCTACGGAAGGAGTGCGAGGAGGCGAAGACTCTGAACGAGCGGATGGAGGCAGACTTCAAGCAGGAGCTAGAGAAGCTGAAGCGGGAGCTTGGTGGGGGGCTGAGGGAGCCCAGGCAAGGCGAGAGGGTAGAGGTCAAGCTCTCGCTTGGTGGGACACCTGAGCATGTTCCGGAGGGACGAGAGAGTGGGGAGGACATGGGCAGAGTATACTACGACGAGCTTGAGAGGCTACGGAAGGAGTGCGAGGAGGCGAAGACTCTGAACGAGCGGATGGAGGCAGACTTCAAGCAGGAGCTAGAGAAGCTGAAGCGGGAGCGGGGTGAGGGGGGCCGAGACAGCGGAGCTGTGCCTGCAGAGGAGCTTGAGAGGCTACGGAAGGAGTGCGAAGATCTCAGAGCTCACTTGGACGTGCAGGTTGCACAGTTGGGTCAGAAGCTGGAGTCTTTGCATGAGAGCGCGCAACAGAAACAAGAAGAATGCAGTCGTGCATGTCAAGTGGTGGAGAAGATTGTGCAGGAGTGTGAGACAGCAGTGTCGGAGAACGAGAGGATTTCGAACCAGCTGAGCGCGATGTCGTCGAGAGCTGTGTCACTTGAAAGGGAGTTGTCGTCGAATCAAGAGAATTCTTCTCGTGTCCGTGCAGAGGAGCTTGATAGGCTACGGAACGATTGTGAAGCGGCGAAGACTCTGAACAAGCGGATGGAGGCAGACTTCAAGCAGGAGCTAGAGAAGCTGAAGCGGGAGCGGGGTGAGGGGGACCGAGGCAGCGGAGCTGTGCCTGCAGAGGAGCTTGAGAGGCTACGGAAGGAGTGCGAAGATCTCAGAGCTCACTTGGACGTGCAGGTTGTACAGTTGGGTCAGAAGCTGGAGTCTTTGCATGAGAGCGCGCAACAGAAACAAGAAGAATGCAGTCGTGCATGTCAAGTGGTGGAGAAGATTGTGCAGGAGTGTGAGACAGCAGTGTCGGAGAACGAGAGGATTTCGAACCAGCTGAGCGCGATGTCGTCGAGAGCTGTGTCACTTGAAAGGGAGTTGTCGTCGAATCAAGAGAATTCTTCTCGTGTTCGTGCTGCTACGCGCAGAATCGTTCGGGCATTGGATTGGGACGCAGAGACTGCTGCAACACGACCTATCGACTACGCCAACCTCTTCGAAGGCATCTTGGAGCTGGGACAATGCATGGACCTCCTTGCTGCGGGTCAGAAGATTCCTAGCAAACTTGATCGAGCCCTGCAATCGTTCAGCAGATTTGCTGCTGATCTTGATGGGATGGAGAGCACTGAGTCGGCCGATAGTGCGAAATTGCTTAATCAAAAGAATCAGCTTGGAGTGGAAAGTGCAAACTTGAAGAAGAGGTTGGAAAGTGCTGAAAATGGCCTTGCGCGGAACCTGGATGCAGCGATCAATGATGAAGTTGTGGAACTGAGGAAGTATGTACAGAAGTTGGTGGAGGAGAGCAAAAACTTGGCAGAAGACGGGAAGCAGTACAGAGAAGAGATACGAAGGCTCGAGATATCGAAGAGAAACTTGTCTGACCAAGTCCAAGTGCTCGAAGGCGTCAATCAGAACCTCACGCAACAGAGCCAATCTCTAAGAGACCACATGGAGTCTGTGCGTGCCGAACTTGAAGGTCGCTTCTTCGTTAGCGAGAACAGTCGTCGGCAGCTGGACATCGAAATCCAACTTGCGCAAGCTGAGAACGCCCGTCTGACAGAGGAGGTGAAGATGTTGAACGCTGCCATGAGTAGCGAGCGGAAGGCGCGCAACAAGGCGGGCGACAATTGGTACAGCATGCAAGGTGGTGACCATGTGATGGGAGGGGGGAAGGAGGAGGAGCTTCGATCCCAGATCTCCTACCTCGAGAACAATCTCTCCGAGGTGAATGCCTTGCTCGACGCCAGCAAAGCAGAATCCATATCGAAGCAGAAGGAGATCACAGAGCTGAGAAGTGCCTTGGATAGAACCAAGGAATCCCTGCAGGCCGCACAGGAGGAGGTCAAAGCTCTCCAGCAGAACCGCAGCTCGCAAGTTTTTCCCGACGACCAGCTGGCGGAGCGAGAGAGGATGACGCGCATCCGCAGCCTGCAGAAGGAGAACGCGGAATGTCACGCGCAGCTGAACCAGCTGAGCAAGGAGGTGGTGGGGCTGACGGACGCGCTTGAGATGGTGACGAAGCGAGCGCAAGACAAGGACAGGAAGTACCTGGAGCTTCAAGCTAAGATGGACAAGATCATACGCGTGGCGAGCCTCGTCGACCCTCAGCTGGCCTTGGATCATCAGTTCTCCAAGGTGAAGCCGCCCAAGTCGAAGCCCAAGCGCAAGTTGCAGCCTTCATCCAGCAGAGGCCCATCTCACTCGCTCTCCACTCCTGTCAACCCTGCGGGTCTCAACGGAACTCCAGGGCGGCCGAAGCGGGTGGAGAGCTTGCTCACAGACCTGGAGGATGTCTACGGGCGTCCAAGGGTCGCCCACAACGGGGTGCAGCGACGCCCGCAGAGCGCAAGGGCGAGGATGGAGCTCCAAGTGGAGCGAACGACGGGCAATCGGATGGAAGGAGGGCAGGAGGACGGTGGGTTTGACTATGGCAGGCGGCTCAACCGCCCGCTGTCGGCCAACTCCGGCCGTTACTACCGCGGGGACGACGGCATTCCACACCAACTCTACGAGGACAATCTGCGAGACTCTGGCCCTCCAATGGACTCGCGAGGCTCCGCGCAAGACTTCGCTGCTCAGGGCATCGACGTGTTCGGCACCCTCAGGCCGTTCTCGCACCTGCTGCAATCGGTGAGGGACGGGAGCGTCACCGAGGAGACTCCCATCTGCATCCTCGTCGAGTTCTGCAACTCCGAGAGGCACGCGCGGCGGTACGACATCCAGCAGTACCAGCTGCTCTACGAGAGGCTCTGCGCCTGCTGCTGGAGGAGCTGAGAGGAAGGAAGTTCACGGTGGTCGGCAACCGCGCATCGGGGTCCACGCATGCTCCAGAGATCGAGCCTCGCCCTGGCTCCTTCGAGATCTACGTTGAGTGGCAGGACGCTATGGGGGACACCAACACAGTGCTGCTGTTCAGCAAGCTGGAGAAGATGCAGTACCCTAACCCTGAGACGCTGGCAACCAGGGTTCGCACTATCCTTGAGGAAAGAGAGTAAGGCGCAGTTTCAGTTTGAATTAGAGGAAACTCCTGATTGTACAAGTCACCAGGCTCAGTCGCTTGACTGAGTAGTTTGAATATAACTATAAATGAAGTATAAGTGACCCTTTTCTAAGGTTGCGCCCTTCAAGCGTGAGCTCCGAGGCTCAATGCTTTTGTTTGCTCGCTGGTTTCAACTGATCGGACACTGATTCCAATGGCCTCCCCCCGGCGAGTCCGGTCCCCCGGCTCCGGCCACCGTGCGGGCCTACCGTACCGTCACTGACAGAACCGGGCCGCTGTCAGTGTGGACCCTACTTTAACTCAGTGAAACGCCGGCCCGGCCAAATGATCTCCGACCGCCGGGACCTCGGAAAATGATCCGTTAATTTATGTAACGTACGCACACGTTACATATAACGGGAGCCTCTCAGCAAAAAAAAGAAGAGCGGCGCGATGGATGCAGAGGCGCAGGTAAGGAGGAGGGGAGGGGAGGGGAGGGGAGGGGAGAGGAGAGGAGAGGAGAGGAGAGGAGAGGAGAGGAGAGGAGAGGAGAGGAGAGGAGAGGAGAGAGACAGTGAGGAGAGGAGACCATGAGGGGAGAGGAGAGGAGAGGAGAGGAGAGGGGAGAGGAGAGGAGACCATGAGGGGAGAGGAGAGGAGAGGAGAGGAGAGGAGAGGAGAAGAGAAGAGAAGAGAAGAGAGGGGGGGAAAGGATAGGAGAGGAGAGGAGAGGAGAAGAGGGAAGGAGAGGAGGGGAGGATAGGATAGGATAGGATAGGATAGGATAGGATAGGATAGGATAGGAAGAGATGGTGTAATCGAGAAACATTTTAGGATAGAGATGAGCGACAAGGAAATGGAGGAGAGGAAATGGCAAGGTTGTCACTAGAAAGGAAAGAAGGGGAGGAGGAAGAGGGGAGAGAAAGAAAGAGAGGAGGAACAAAAAAGAAAAGAGATATGAGGAGAGGAGAGTGGAGAAGAAGAGAAGAAGGCAATAAGGAGACAGGAAGGAACGAGAACAGGTGTGAGGAGAGGAGGAGAGAGGAGAACAAAAATTCTGAGACTGGAGATGAGATGAGGGTAAACAGGGGGATGGAGCAAAGATGATAAAAAGAGAGAAGGAAAAAATAAAGGGAGGAGCGGTGGGAGGAAGGATGAGGTGGAGGAAGATAAGAAGGAAAAGGAGGAGCAGAAACGAAATGAAGAGAAGAGAAAAGCCAAATTATCTTGTGCGCGCATTGCTAGACTTGATTCTTCTCTGCCTGCTCATTCTACACTTCCCTGGACTCCCTTTCCCAACTCTGTCCGCCATATCGCAACTCCCCGCATGCTGATTTCGACACCGTGGGGCAGGGCAAGAAAGTAGACAACGCAGGAAGGCGCGTGAAAGGGCGAGGAACGGGAGACGGTTCTACGCGTGAGGATCGTTACGTGGGAAAGTCAGGCCAGTTCGAGTCTGTGGACAC